ACTGTCGGTTTGTCCGCATCTTTGTTCTGGAGAGTTGCTGGCGTTGCTGCTCCCTTGCTCCCGGTGGCTGCAGGCCTGTTGGGCCGTATGACCACCGTGCTGAACCTRYMGTACAGGCGGAAGCTCGCTGCCCGGACGTACCTGTACGACTCATCGTCGATGAACAGGTTGAGTCTCCATCCTCTCATACCTCCGATCTCCTCCATTTTTGCTCACGACGCGCCAGGACGAGATGCTGAGTACCCGGTTCTGGTTTTTCACCAGCGCCAAGACGAACTCATAGGGCTTGTCCCCGCACCGAGGGGGGAACATTGTCATGCTGTGCATGATTGGCAAATCTTCCGCCCTCTTCGCGCAAAGGACAGGACCCTTCCAGCCTCCGAGCGTTGGAGCGTACTCCTTCAGCCAGTCAGCGGACGCCTTATCCACGCAGTCTACCTGCAGCATTCCTCCTCTAAACTCCACTCCCAGGAAGGACGCCGCATAGTCCTCCCCTCTGAACACCTCCTCCGTGAGGAGATCCTGGAGCACCGTGAGCTCCTCCGGTGTAAGCGACTCCACCGGGTAGCTGAGAGGCAGTACAGCCATGCGAATGCCTTTTACAGCGTCCGCATCACGGAGGTTCCGCAGGTACCACTTCATAGTGGAACCTTTCCTGCGTGGATCATCGCATCCACCGGGTTGACCGGCTTCTGGAAGGGGTCGTTGCCCACCTCTTCCGCGCCTTCCCCTTTTCCTCTTACGACCACCACCGGGCCCTGCCCGATGAGACTCACCTGAGTCCGACCCGCTACACCTTTCGGCGGGGGTCTTGGTGGCACTTGTTGTTGCTGTGGCTGCACCCGGCGTTCCCCCAGGCGAGCGCCGCTGCAGGAGGGCACATCGTCATCCTCCCTAGCGTGCTCCTCAAACAGCGCCCGTTCTTCTGGCGAGAGAGCGTCGAGGAAGCTAAATTTCCGTCTAGCTCCCTGACCCCCTTTGACTGCCGCTGCACCGATGTCCCTTTCGTTGTCCGAGTCCGTTTTCCGAAGTTGTCGCCTAGTGTCTAAATCCGAGTTTGTGTTGTTGTTTTTGTTCTTGTTCATCTTGTTTTTACGACCTTTGGCTCAACGGGGTGAGCTGTCGGGTCTATCAATTTATATGGGAAACTAGAGGGTCCGCCACGCCAGAGCCCCATGGCGCGGTAAGGCCACAGTTACTCCCTAATTCGGCCCGGTGTTGCGGAGGCTCCGTTAGAATACAGCCGAATTTAACCTCCCGGCTGCAACTCATCCAGTGGGCACGGGAGTCGCATAACGCCCTGGATTAGGAGGTGGTAGCTCTTGGTTAGCGCACGCATGCGGCACCCGTCACCCCGCATGGTCAGTGCTCACCAGCACCAGCCGCATAGGTTGGGGTGCGCCGAGTATGCCTTGCGCCTAAGCCCCTGCACCGCGACAAGGTGCCTACCATTCGCAGAGGTTCCACTTACCCGAGTTATAGTTATATCTAATATATATTTAACGTTTTTTAAAACCTACTAGTTCCAATATATATAATTTATCAGTTTATATTTATATAACATACATTTAACGTTGTTAAACTATCCAATACTACAGTTCAATTAAACCCATTTTATTACAATAAGTGTCAAGTGAATTTCGCAGAAAATAAAAGTTTATGACGATCTTTTGAAACTGGTGAATTTTTACCTAAAAGTGTGAGTGGCCTGAAAGGTGAGTTTACTGTACAATGTGAATATGCAGTAAATCTTCTTTCTTTTAATTTAAATACCCAAAAGTAATTATAATATTATGTCCGATCTGCCCAAATTAGAAAATATTATAAAAAACGCTGGGTAAATTTTAGAATAGCTTCCCCCGAAATCGAGTATGTATGGATAGAGGAGGTCTTCCAGGTTAAGAAAATAAATATAGAGTAATTTTGGGTATTGTGATATAGGCATACTTTTTTCGATGACTAATCAACATTTTGAAGAGGAAACTAGTATAATTTCTATTAATGCGATAGGTTCAGGCATTTCCCAACATATTCCGAAATAGTATTGCATTTTGTTCAGTTTTGAGGAAGATAGTTGTTTAAAACTATAAAAATTCGAAAACGTCGGTTTGTAAAAATGGGGTGGTAATGTGATATACCCCATCGGCTAATATGATATACCATATCAAATTACCCAAAACATTCCCAAAAAATTATGGTTTTTATTTAATTAAATTAATTCATTTATTTAAAGCAAAGATTCATATATTATATTTTATACAAAAAATAAACAAAACAAAATGATATTATAAAAGAAACAACTAAGAATTCAATAAGGT